AAATAAATTATTAAAACAATAATTAACATATAATGTTCATAACTTTCACTATTATTGTGAAAAACATCCATACCATTCATTTTTGACATTTTTATTTTTAATTTCACTTTTCATTGCGCAAATCATTATTTCTACAAATTTTCATCCAATTTCTCAATAAAAAAATTGTGAAATGACGAATATACTCTATATTTAAATAATTAAAAAAAGAACTAATGGTAACTATAGTCCAAATAAATTATGAAAAACTTAGAAATTAATTTTTTTTAAAAAAAGTGCAAACGAGTCCCAAATAAATTATTTAAAAAATTAGAAATTAAATTCTTTTTTAAAAAAGTGCAAACGAGTCCCAAATAAATTATTAAAAATCAGTAATTAAAAAAATATTTTTTTTAAAATTTAAATAGGAGGGTATACTCGTCATCTCATAGTTTTTTATTGAGAAATTTGATAGAAAGAATGATTTGCGCAATCAAATATATAATTAAGGGTGAAAATGTCAAAAAATGAAAAGTATAAGCGTTTTTCACAATAATAATGAAATGTACGGATATTATGTGTTAATTATTATTTTAATAATTTATTTGGAACTCTTTTGCACTTTTTTTTAAATTGGGACTATATTTGCAATTAATTTTTTTCTTATTATTTTATTTAAATAGAAGGGTATATTATAGTCCCGTTCTCCTGCCCGCGGCGGGCAATCTTATCCTGTCTACTCTGAGAGAACCCAACGTGGGGTTCTCACATTTGAAGAGAACCTCACGTAGGGTTCTCCTGCCACATCAGCAGGTGGGCAGGATAAAATTGCCCGCCGCGGGCAGGAGAACATTCTCGGGGTATATTAATCATTTCATAGTTTTTAATTGAAAAAATGGATGAAAATGATATTTTGCATAATGAAGGATGAAAATAAGGGTAAAAATGTAAAAAATTGAAAGATAAATACGTTTTCCACAACAATAGTAAAAAATAATGACGTTAATTATCCAATGATTTAACATTTTCTGTTAATAAACAAAAATAAAACAAAACAATAAGAGTACAAAAAAAATAATTGAAAGCTACAATTAGGGATGTCAAAATGGCTCATAAGCTCGGACCGCCTGTGGCTTGGCTCTGAACCATGAGCCTAGGCTCGGGCTAAGCCCCATTTTAGGGCAAAGGCTTGAGCCCGAGCCGCCCCGTGTGGCTTGGCCGTTTTCAGCTCGAACGAGCCAAGCTCGTTTAAAAAAAATTGAAAACAGC